TAATAATACTTGCTATTATTATTATTATTTTAGCTGTCTTGATCAAGTCTTGCAGCTAAAGTTTTGTGTGATTTCATGCATGTCAGGAACGACTCTCAGCTACTACCACTAAGGTTCATTCAAACCTGTGGTTCAAGAGTTATTTTGCTAACACAGCAGTAAGGACTGAGAGCAGCCGTCACTGCAGACAAACATCCATCAGCAGCTAAAAGAAGCCGAACAAATCCAATCCCCCCGAAGCCACGTGGAGTAATCCTCGTCACAAAGCCGACACGTGCACTGTGCTGTGCACGTGTGCAGATAAAACAGGTTTCTGCTCCAGGAGGGACTTCAGCTCTCTGACACACAGCCGAACATCAGCCGAAACCCATTATCCATCTGATATCTGACATCAGCTAAAATCAAACATCCAGCTGATATCTGACATCAGCTAAAATCAAACATCCAGCTCATCTGACATCAGCTAAAATCAAACATCCAGCTGATATCTGACAACAGCTAAAATCAAACATCCAGCTCAGCTGACATCAGCTAAAATCAAACATCCAGCTGATATCTGACAACAGCTAAAATCAAACATCCAGCTGATATCTGACAACAGCTAAAATCAAACATCCAGCTGATATCTGACAACAGCTAAAGTCAAACATCCAGCTGATATCTTACATCAGCTAAAATTAAACATCCAGCTGATATCTGACATCAGCTAAAGTCAAACATCCAGCTCATATCTGACATCAGCTAAAATCAAACATTCAGCTGATATAATCTAAAATCAAACATTCAGCTGATATAATCTAAAATCAAACATCCAGCTAATATCTGACATCAGCTAAAATCAAACATCCAGCTGATATCAGCTAAAATCAAACATCCAGCTAATATCTGACATCAGCTAAAATCAAACATCCAGCTGACATCAGCAAAAATCAAACATCCAGCTGATATCAGCTAAAATCAAACATCCAGCTGATATCTGACATCAGCTAAAATCAAACATCCATCTGATATCAGCTAAAATCAAACATCCAGCTCATCTGACAACAGCTAAAATCAAACATCCAGCTAATATCTGATATCAGCTAAAATCAAACATCCAGCTGATATCTGACATCAGCTATAGTCAAACATCCAGCTGATACCTAACATCAGCTAAAATCAAACATCAAGCTGATATCTGACATCAGCTAAAGTCAAACATCCAGCTCATATCTGACATCAGCTAAAATCAAACATCCATCTGATATTAGGGGTGTAAGAAAATATTGATACAATGAAATATCG